TTTGGTTGATCTCTCCCCCTTACCTCCACCCTTCCTCTACCTTCCCTATGAGGTTTGACGGTCTGATCAATGCTTCTCTGTCTCTGGATCTGTTTTTTTGTTGTTCTTCATCAGTTTATGTTGTTCATTATATTCCACAAATGAGTGAGATCATGTGGTATTTATCTTTCTCTGACTGGCTTATTTCACTTAGCATAATGCTCTCCAGTTCCATCCATGCTGTTGCAAATGGTAAGAACTCCTTTTTTACCGCAGCGTAGTATTCCATTGTGTAGATGTACCTGGATATAAAATTCTTGATTGACTATTTTTTCTTTTAGTGCTAGTTCCTGTGGCTTCCAAAATTTCTGATGAGAAATCTGTTAATAATCTTATTGAGGATTACTTGTATGTAATGATTTGCTTTTCTGTTACTGCTTTTAAGATTCTGTCTTTTGAAAGTTTGATTATAATGTGTCTTGATCTGGGTCTAAGTTCCTCTTAGATGGAATCTTTGGTGTTTATATTCAAGACTTTCATCAAATTTGGTATTTTTCAGCCATTTCTTCTTCAAATATTTCTGTTTCTCTCTCTCTCTCTCTCTCTCTCTCTCTCTCTCTCTCTCTCTCTCTCTCTCTCTCTCTCTCCTTCTGGGACTCCCGTATTATGTATGTTGTGCTACTTGATGGTATCCCATGGGTTCCTTAGGCTCTGTTCATTTCTTTTCAATCTTTGTTTTTTAGATTCGATAATTTGCATTGCCCTATCTTCAATTTTGCTGCTTCTTTCTTCTGCCTGTTCAAATCTGTGAATGATAATGTTTTATGTTTGTTTTACATTTTTTTACAGTTATTTTCTGTGTGTGACAAGTGTTAGGTGGTCTGAGGATATGATTACGTGAAATTTTGGAGATAATCCTCCATGACTGAAGTTCCAAAGGCATCTATTCAGGTCCTGCCTGCTTCTGAGTTTCTACTGCCCACCCAGCTGGAGCCGCATGCTTTCCCTGGATATATGCAGGCTCAACTTCACCTTGATCTCAAAAATAAAACCTGGCTTCATGTCAGGGGCATTTCTCAGGCTCCAAGTCAGCTCTGAGGACCACAGAAGGATTTTTCCTCGCTGTTAGCCAAGTCTTGGGGTTTCTGGCTAGTACCGAGTACCATCTCTGCTTTCTGACGCCCTGTGTGATTCCTGGTCCCTTCCCCAACTCTTCCTACCACCAGAGACCAAAGACTTGACTCTGAGGACAAATTACTATCTGGTTGACTCCTGGAACATCTGCTGGCCTGAGCATCCATGTCTGGCCTATACCTGGTTGCCTTGGGTCCTCAGGGGTGGCAGTCTCTTGCCCCTATTAGGAACATTGTTGACAGACTTAGTTCTCTCCTTGTATAGTTGAGTTACTTTCCAGAAAGAACTATTGTCCTCTGGGAGTAAGTCCAACTCCTAGAACCTATCTGCTCCAAGTCTTCCTGGCCCTATAACTCCAAATGAGGTCAGCTGGTGAGGTGTAATAGCACATGAGCATGGAGTAGATAGGAGAAGGAGAGGAGGGGAGGAGAGGGGAAATAGGGGGGCATCTGTAATACTGTCAACAAGAAAATAAAGCAAAATTAAGTTAAAAAACTATTAAGGAAGGTTCCATTCTAGCATGTATGTATGAGAATAACTCCATAATCAATAAGAAATGCAGCATCACTGAACATATATCCTAGTGAGAATGATGAAAGAGTAAGACAACTTGCATATTGATGGGCTACCAGAGGAAAACGACCAGAGGGAGACAAAGAGACCAACCAACATAATTAATTTTTACTTAGGAACAACCTTACTCAAGGCATTACACTTGAGGTCACTAGAAAGAAAAATCATGAAATCATTGTGTGTCTTGAGGGTACTTTGTTTTGCCTTAAAGTGATTGTATCAATTTAGGGCCAGGAGGGGATATGATAAAACCAAGAGTACATAAAGTGGGATTCCAGAAGTGATGTGGGCTATTGAATCACAGTAAGAGAAGACGCATCAACAGGGAAATGAGAGGGGACAGCTGAGTCTACTCTGTGCAGGGAAGCTGAGGTTGTCAGCTCCATTAGGAAGGCAGTCTTTGTCCTGGAGTCCACATGTGTACCCTTGGCATTTATAACAGTGACTGACAACTAACAATTGTTTAATAAACATTTGTTCACTAACTGAAAGGATATAGGATCAGCTTGATACGGTGAGGCCTGGAGGAAGGCAAATCACACAGCCAGCCAGGGGCAGGGGCAGGAATAAAATCCAAACTTCTCAACTTCCAGCCTTACCTCCAGTGTCTGTTGGAATCAATTGGACAGTCTTTGAGCATTCCTACCTTATATCGATCCTCCCACCACCTCTTTTGAATGTAGTCCTCCCCTTCCTTCCTCATTCCACCACTCTGTAACTAAACCCTGGGGAGGTGAGGGGAGGCCTGGAAGTTCCTTGAGGCCTTAACCTGCCTTATCCAACTCATATCTCTTCTAAGCTTCTGTCTTCACAGTCATTGCTATACTGTTTGGCCTCATCTGCCACCCATTCTTTCCCTTAAGCCTTTCCTTCTGTTGTATGTCTTCCTTAATAGAATAGGAGTGCTCTTTGTGTTTTCTGTCCACACGAACAGGCCTAGTTTAAGACACACTGTTATATTTTGTATACAAATATCTCTCTTCAGATATTGGTTCCCCCACTTGCTTTGTGAATAGGAGCAACACAGATCTCTCTGATCAAAGGGGTTCAGGTTGGGCTACTGAGGGAATAGAAAATGTGGGTTTGGAAAAAGTGTTGTCCCAGGTGAAGAGAACCACATCACCAGGAATGGAGGGCATGTAAACATTCAAATTATAAGACTCTACTTTGGAGTAACTGGGTTGAGATGTGTCATCTTTATTGGAAATAACCTGTTTCAATAGCTTCTATCAACAGCCAGGGAAACTGTATATCCTTCCTATCAAAAAACCAAATCAAACTACGCTATTAACCTAAACAGGGAATCTTACATCCACCTCCCCCACCCCTCCTCCCTACTCCACAGATGGGCTAAGAGGTCTTGCTTGGAATCACTGTTACCTGTTTTCTTCTTGCCTTCCTTTCCAGTTGAGAGGGAAAAGCTCAGACAGCCAGTAGAGGCTTCATAGATAAGCTGATAAGGCGAGTTCACTCCCATTATTGAGGTGCTCAGGAAGGGCTCTGGAATGGAAGAGAGAGGGATCCTTCTTTTAATTTTTTAACTCTATTTTTTCTTAACAAAAAATATAATATGGATTTTTTTGTTTTAGCAGTATGATAGACCAGATATTCTGGTGCTCTACTGTACAAAACAACCACCTCTTGGAATAAAAAGACTTTTGATAAACAAGCAGGCTCTGAGTAATTAAGGGAAATTAAGGTTCCTTTCTACAGTACCCCCCTTCCAATATCTCTCAAGAGTGAAATGACTAGTGCAGGGAGCAGCAATCAAACACAAAAGGTAACATCATGTTACTAAAGGGCAAATGCAGGTATAACTGCTGCATTAAGTAGAGAAAATAAGCAATGAGCTGACTAGAAGGAAAGTCACCTATTTTCTCTTATCCAAGACATAGAAATCAGATGCTTCTCCAACAATCAGATCAGTCTCTTGCAGAATCATGCTGTCTTCTGTAGAATAATTTGATTATCTGAACACTTAAGAATTAGAATTTAGCAGCCCCATCACTCTGGAAAATCTTAATCATTCTTACATAAATCTCATCAAATCCTTTCCTTATTCGCGCCCCCCCCCCCCAATATGGCCATTTCACTGGTTGTTAGGAAATGTTAAGCATTTCATTTATTGGTATGGTATATACAAATCCATAAAGAAAATGGCAAACCTGACTTGACAAGTAGACAGAGATAATAACCAGAGACTGCACACTGGATGATGCAACGCACAATCACTCACCATCACTAGTGATCCAAAAACTGAAATCAGAACAACCTTCAGCACCTTTTAACTTAGCAAAAAAGAAAAGAACTAACAATAGCCAATGCTGGTAAAGATGGAATAAAACTAGTCAACCCTGCTGGTGTAGAGAAAACGCATCAAAAAAGCAATATTTAGCAAGAGCTAAACACATATTGAGACCCTCTGCTCCAATAAACCCTCTCCTGGGTAATCAATCTTAATCACCAATACAACAGAAATAAGTGACATATATAAAGTTGCATATTACAATGCATAAAATACTAATAACAAAAAACCTGGAAACCTAAGCATTTGGTTAATTATGAAACATACATATTAGAAGAAATCTACACCAACTCAAAATAACAATTATTAAAACCATAGAGCCATGTTGGAAAACATTTGTCTGTTAAGTCAAGGATACTGAGAAATAGAACACTGCAGTATTCTTTTAAAAGTATACACACACAGGGGAGAAAGAGAGAGGGAGAGAGGGAGGGAGAGGGGAAAGAAAGGAGGGAGGGAGAAAATTGAATAAATGAAAGAAAAATAGCTACATATGCAAAGATGGCAAGATTACTTGCTTTCTTTTTTGGTATGTCTTATATAATGATATTGCCATCAACCAAAAATCAAGGAGTAGTCTAGTTTTCTTTCATGACAGGTCAGGACTAGCAGGTATTAAGGGCAGGAGAAAAGGCTAGAACTAGTCTTACTACTACCTGGCAACAGCTTTAAGGGAACAATACTACTCTAGACTCAGTTATAGCTTTGGTCTGCTTCACATAATAAGATGGTCTAGAAAACCATCTTATTCATGCAAAATAAATTGATTTCCATCTTCTTTATAATGCCCTGGGAGAGCTAACTCAAGTCCTTCTAAGATGAATGCCTTCCCAAAAGAAATGGATAGCTTCTTCATACATATTTTGACATTTTGATTATTTTCCCCAAACTCTAGGCTGGTTTAAAGAAAGTTGTGTCTGGAACCAATGTGGCAACAAGTGAGAGAGAATTCCTGGAGAGTGTGATGGGGAGGTTTTCCCAGTGCTCTGCTAATGCAGCAGGGCACAGACATCACCAAAAGGATCTCTCTCCAAGGTTCAGCTTTCTGCAAATTCTCCTCCACTAGATTAGCCACAGCCTACGAGGGACACCAGAAGTTACTGCAGCACAGGTAAAAGCCTGTGACTCTGGAAGAATGCTTGAATACTTTATGAGGTGGAGTGCGATTGCTGACAACCGTTTCCTTTTCAAGGTGAGGGAACAGAATATTCAGGTGGGAGAGCACCATGGGCAGGTCTGAGAGTGGGTGTTTGGGCCAGAGCTATCATGACACCCCTGTGGGACTCTCCCTATTCACAAACAGACCAACAGGTAGCTGTCCACCCCAAAGGAGATTGATCTCTAAGCCCTATATGGAACACAAGGTGCAGAACTCCATATATGCTGGTAACTATCTGCAAAAATAGTTACAGAACAATTTAGAGGACCTGTGCTACCAGGGCATAGCTGATCCTGAATAGAACCGGCATAAGATACATCCATGGCATGGTAAATAGTGTGGGAGGAAATGTTTGGGATTTTAATCTTAGAAAAGGAAAACAAAATTTATCAAAAAAACCCCAAAACACCTTCTTTTACCTTTTATTTAACAAAAATTAATTGATATTGGAGCACATGCTAATTGTTATAAGAAATAAAGACTGTGTTGACTTTTTTCCTGAATGGTTGTATGTTAACAATAAAATGAGTCCCTTCATGTTTGTTTTTTGCATCTCCTACCTCACAGATACCACCAAACTGCTCTCCACAGGAATGGCACAAATTTGTACACTTACCTGCAGCATTTGAGAATCTCCATTGCTCCACATCCACCTCAACGCTTGGAAAAGTCAAGCATTTAAACGGGACTTGACCTTTCCATTGTGCTCTGGTTGGTATTGTTTGAATTCTCACCTAAGGGCTGAAGCTCAGGTACCCACCTTTCCCCATCAGTCCAGCACCAAAGGTACTTCTCCCGAATGTGCCAATCAGGGAGTCAAAAGCCATCTCTTTGGCATTGAGGTGGAGGAGCTGGCTGGCCTCCACAAAGCGCCTTGTGATGTCCAAGGGGTTGGCACCTAATAAAGGAATCAACAAAGCAACTCATTTTCCTCTCAGCATGGGCTAATGTTTCCAGAAAAGGGCCTCCATAAATGGCCAGAGAAATAAGGGTAGAGTGTAGATCCATATCTAGGATAAGAAAGTGTGAGGGGGCTCCTAATGGAAGGGTCTCTAGCTCTCAAAACCTCTCAAATGGCATGTTACTCTCTGCCCCGCCTTGTCCTTCTCTCTTCCATACTCATAGGCCTGGGTATCAATGCTGTTGGTATTTAAAATAATGCAGTACTTAGAAGTTTTAATTACTGATGTGGCTCTAGGTCCTGGCCTTAATCTAGAGATGACACCCTCACAATAGATGGATCCCAGTTCTCATAACTCTCCCTGATTCTGGCTCTACTGGGCTCTGTCCTGCTACCCACCAATTGTCCCTCTTGACTGGCAACTCCACAAGCCCCTTCCTCCTGAGTGCCTTCTCTCTCCACCTCTGTGTCATTTCCAAAAACTCCACCCATCAGTACCTCTGACCTCACACAATTCTCCACGGCCAACCTTTAGTCTTGGCTCTGCAAAGTTGATGGAATGGGAGGAAAAGAGGAGAACAGAGAGAGGTGAGAGGATGAGTCTTGTGGGTAGTCATGGTAGGAGTTCAATTCCTACAGCAGATCCATGGCAGCCACCTGTTCCCAGTTCATCCTCATATACCTGTTTGGGGTAGGTGCAGTAGACACATCGGTCCAGACAGACCATTCCAGGCCCAGAAAAAATGAAGAAGAATCTGACAAGCCAGCCTTACCAGACACAGACTCCAGCATGGCCTTCATCTTCAGGGTGAGCAGCTCAGTCAGCAGGTGGATGGACCGCCGCTGGAACTTGTACAGGGTGTCCTGGCTGGTGTGCACCCGATGACCACGGGTGGTGAACTTGCCTGGCCCAGTGGGTAGCATCAGTGGTGGTGGTACTGGTGGTGGTGGTGGCTTCTTCAGGACGTGGATCTGCACAGGGGTTGATTCCACAGACACCACGGGTGGAGTCCCAAAGCTGATCTCCAGGCCCCGGATGTCAGACGGAGTAGGCACCATAGGGTCAGTGATGAGCTCCTCCCAAGTGAACTCAAAGATGTTTCTGATGCCCTTAGGTATAGCAATGCCTGTGTTCCGGCACGTGAGGAGTAATTTGGAAATGTTGGCCAGCAGCTTAGGGGCCTTGGATTTGTACTGCAGGTACAGTTCTCGGTTACTCTTGATGTCGCTCATGTTGTTAGAGCATGCATACTGCTAAGTAATACTGTCTATCTCGGACAAGAGGGGCCTTCAGCTGTAAAGAGTCAGAGCACCCTGAGAGGTGAATGAAAGCAAAAGTTCTTTTTTTTGAAAGCCAAAGTTCTTACCTAAGCTGAAGGCTTGGAGACAGACAGTATGGAGGTGCTGAAATGGCCTTTATGGGTCATTGAACCTGGGTCCTATCCAGGAAGGAAAATAATTGGTCACACCCTCCTTCGCAGTAGGGCAAGGGGATGCCCCTCCTCCCTTTTCTTCCCAGAGAAACCTCAGATAGACCCACATTAGTGAGTCACTTTGGGGAGGGAGGGCCTGGGGATGAGTAGGTTCTAGAAATAGTTGCAGGGACAGTCACACAAACTAAGTTCCTATGGAGGAGCCCCCGGGACTGGAGGAATGGAAAGGATGGGGAAGAGAGAAAGGTTCCATCATACCTTTTGTAATTATAGATCTGAGGCTGGAAGATCTGCTCGTGGTCTATCAATAAAAACCTGCAAAAACAAAAAGATATTTCATTGGCTTTCTCTGGATGAAAGGGATAAGCTTCCTGGTTGGGTAAGCTCCTGGTTGCAATGAAAGGATGGGTATAAAATTATTCAACATGTACATCCAAAGGCAGACAGGAAAGAATGAGGAGAATGAGTTTTCTTAATTCAATACTAATATTTTTTGCCACATTTCATAAAACCTAAGATTTGATGTAACTAATGCACCATCTTATAAGAAAAATATCAATGTAAGATACCATTGACTGTAAGACTTATCACAATTTCACAGATGTAAAAAGGGGAAAATGTGTACCTTAAAATCAGCAAACTATAATAAGCATTTTCCCACTTTAATAAAACTTCCTGAGGGCACCTAGTGCTCATCAAATGGACATATGTGGCTGTGAGGATAGGAGACAAGCATACTCATGTCTGGGTCAGTTGAACATCATTAGATACTACTAGGTGGTTTTCATCCTTCTAAATTGTGTTTTATTTTTATTGTTTTACTTTATATAAAAAATAGACCACTGGTTGGAGAGAGGGAGTTTGAAGAACAATTTGATGAACACAAAATGGCTAGAAAAAAATCTACAAATAAACCTCTAGGGTTTTGTAATCAGATCTGAAAGTTTCATTCATCTGATCAAAATAAATACCATAAGGACATACCACTGTCCATATGTCAATCTAAAATACATTAATAAAAATATAAAGTCACTTCTTGATTTTACATCACACAAAAATGATTTAGGGCCAATGGGGGGGAAAGAGGGTATATGTAACACTTTCAACAATAAAGATTTAAAAAAATAAAATTGAACAATTCTTATTACCACAGCCCTCCAACCATCAATTCTACCACCTCAGCCTGACAATTACCCCCCACCATGTCCATGGCCGTCTTCTCCCACCAATCTTCAATCTTTCGCTTTTCAAACCATGTCCTCTCGAACCACCCTAAGTTCACCATTCCAGGACCACACCCCTGGTGCATACCATCAGCATTTATAGAGCAGGTTCACACCATAATCAGGTGCAACCACCCTGGGGTGAGAAGGCTATTATCTCTCTGGTTTTACTGATGAAGAATCAGAGCTCTTAGGAGTTGCCTATGGACATAGGTTCTACATGCAACACTACTTCCTCACGCCCTTTGAGTTGCCTCTACCCATCTATCAGCAACAAGTCTCCAAAGAACAAGAATCCCATAGAGCAAACCCTTCTGACATCTGGCTGACTTGCAGATAAAGTGGCTTCCTATGTCTATTTGCTGACCCCCTGGCATCTATTCCTCAGCTCTGAAGACTTGGAAAAATAGGTTCGTTTTTTGTTTTTTTTTAATGATAAGTCTACAGAACAAAGAAACCACTCAGAATCTCTGTCATCAGGGCAGCCAGCCAGAGGATCTGACCCTGACCGTGCAGGGCTGACTTTTTTTTTTTTCTCTTTAAAACCAGGACTCAGATGAAGACAAATAAAATCCTTGAAATGTTAAATAGTTTGAGGAACTTTTCCCTACCCCCTTCCAGTTCCTTTCCTTTGAAGTTAATTTTGAAGATATGTCTTACAGATAAAAGCTGATTTTTACAATAGCTTTATTGTGATATAATTCACATACCATACAATTCAGTCTTTTAAAAGTATACAATGGTTTTTAGTATATTCAAAGTTGTGCAACCAACACCACTACCTAATTTTAGAACATTTTCATCACCCCATAAAGAAACCCATTATCAGTTACTCTCTATTCCCCTTATCCCCAGGCAACCACTAATCTAGTTTCTGTTTCTATAGAATTGCCTGTTCTGGACATTTCATATAGATGAAATCATATAAGTGGCCTTTTGTGACTGGCTTCTTTCACTTAGAATGTTTTTGAGGTTTATGTTATAGTAGGTATCAGTACTTCATTTCTAGTAGAATAATATCCAATTACATGGTTAAACCACAATCTGTTCATCTAGCATTATTTGATGAGTATTTTGGTTTCCACTTTTTAGCTACTATGATTAGTGCTTCTATGAACATTCATGTACAGATTTTTGTGTTTTCTTTACCTATTGCTATTCTCATTCTTCTGGAATGGATGAAATGACTGTAGCTCCAGCAGCCATTTCAAGACACGAGGTTACTATGAAGCCACGTATTAAAGGTGGCAGTGGAGACACTGCCAGCCCCAATGAGAGCGGGACTGTGGCAGGATGGTGGAGCAGGTGAGTGGGCGGTGACAGGCTAAGGCAGGTGCGAACGGGGCCCCCATCGTCCCGCCAATCCCCCTGCAGACAGTAACCACCTGTGGCCCAGCTACCAGGTGCTGAGGGAGCCAGGCAGGGGGCACAGCCCCAACCAATCACCCTACAGGTGGGATAGTGGAGCAGGTGAGGGGCTGGTGCCAGTGCCAGGCCCAGGCGGGGTGCCAGGCAGAGCTGCAGGGCTGCAAGGCTGGGGGTATGAGCTGGGGCCTGATCTCTGTAGGCCACCCCAAGGGACCCACCCATGCACAAATTCGTGTTCCGGGCCTCTAGTGAATATATAATTGCAGTCCACGACTGATTAAGAAATACAGAAACAAAAGATCAACACCAGACCTGGGTGACAGATTTTCACTAAAAAACACCTTCATTTGATTACTTTGATTTTTCAGTTTTTCTAGGTCTACACCAATCACATCATTCTCTCCCTTCCCCGACCCCCACCCTACTCCTCACACACATACATCAAACATTAAGCTAAATGTACACACCTATACTGACAAAATGCCTCACCAAGACAGCTGGCGAGGGTAGGTGAGAAGGCCAGAGTTGTTTCATTTTTGCTCACAGTATTCAGCAGGTCAATCAATTCTTTTCAATGATCATCCCTTACCTTAGCCATTAAGTTTTTGTTTTTTTTTATAGGAACTGCTTGATGTATAACTAACTTAGTTCAATTTACTGACTGAAAAACAACAACACCAAACATATATGGAGTGGCTACCCTATGTTGTATTAACTGCAAAAACCAGTACTTACCCTGTTCCAAATTCTAACTTCTATTGCCTCATATGTATGTCACAAGGTTAGCTGAAAACCACCCCATGGGCTGCACTATGGCTTTAAGAAATAAATTATACACAAGGTTTGGGCAAATGTATGGCTACACATAGCAGGAATCTCATGTATATGGATTTAAAGTTTCTCCTTTGGGAATTTTGCAAGCAAACAATGATTTATTTAGCCAATTCAAATGAACTGTATCAAAACACACAAAAGCCTGAAGAAAAGATTAAAGTGAAAACAAATAATTCAAAGCACTTTCTGATTTAAAACATTTCACTTAGCTCTACAAAGACACGAACAAGGTGTGGTCGTTTTCTGAGAAGAGATTTTACCACTACTTACTCCCAAGATAAACACAGCCATAAAAATATATTAAATGCTTCATGTACATCTGGAAGAAATTATTTGTCAATCCTTTAGTTACTAATGGGAGGATCATGTGTAGTCAGACTCTAGAGCATGTAAAAAAACCAACACAGATCATTTAGAGTTATGCTGTGCAGTATAGTAGCACTATACCACATGTCTTTTTGAGCATCTGAAATGCGGTTAGATTACAGTGGTCGGCAAACTGCGGCTCACAAGCCACATGCGGCTCTTTGGCCCCTTGAGTGTGGCTCTTCCACGAAATATCACGTGCAGGCGCGCACGTACAGTGTGATTGAAACTTCGTGGCCCATGCGCACAAGTCGGTATCTTGTGGAAGAGCCACACTCAAGGGGCCAAAGAGCTGCATGTGGCTTGTGAGCTGCAGTTTGCCAACCACTGGGTTAGAATGAGTAAAACTAAATTTTCACTTTATTAAATTTAAAACTTCACACTTGACTGTTAATGGAAAACTTTAAACATGGTTAAGCATGTTTGGAACAATTTAGGGTATGTGAATCTATGCTTTCAGTGGTATATTTTATGAAATCTAAATATAGGTCAAGTATTCCTGATGAAAATTTTTACAAGTAGATATACAGTGGATTCTGAACACTTGGTATGAAAAAAAATGTAGAATATCTCATTAATATTTGTGTACATTGATTAAATGCTGAAATAAAAGTATATAACAATATTAATTTCACTTTTTTAATGTGGTTCCTAGAAAATTGGAAATGACATAGAAGACTTACATGGTATTTCTATTGGGCAAACAGTGGATCTGAAGTCTAAGAATTCTAATGCCATCTGCTGGATGCACTCATATAAAACAGGCCCATGAGAAACTGTAAAACAAATTATGTTAACACTTGAAGAACTCTGGGTCTGCAATGGAAGACAATGTAACAGCTGGGTTCATAAGACACTAAATGATCTGCTGTTAAAGAGGGCATAGTGGGGATAAATGGTAATGGGGGAAAAATTTTTTTAAAAAGGCATTGAAAATAGGTTAAAAGTTTTTGAAATCCTAGAGAAAATCTCAGTTATTAGTTGACAGTGATCATGAGCCAGTACACGGACTGCTTTGCTATGTCCACCCAAGGTGCTCTGAGAAACAAAAGGTTATTTGAGCCCGGCCAGCATGGCTCAGTGGTTGAGTGTCGACCTATGAACCAAGAGGTCACAGTTCAATTACTGGTCAGGGCACATGCCTGGGTTGCGGGCTCAATCCCCAGGGTGGGGCCTGCAGGAGGCAGCTGCTCCATGATTCTCTCATCACTGATGTTTCTCTCTCTCCCTCTCTGAAATCAATAAAAGTTAAAAAAAGGTTACTTGGTGGCCTCTGCCATGACTACTGGCACCCATACTCTTTGGCTTATTGCTGCCTAACTAGCCTTCCCATCCCTTCTCCACAATTTGCCTTGAGTCTTTCTGCTCTACTTTACATAAATTCTTTCTCATATCTGTGTTTTCCTTCCTCCCTTTTTTGTTCTTCTTATGAGTCTAGGAGAGCTAATAATTCTTTTTAGAAAAATATTCCAGTTTTTCTTTTTGTCTCTTCTTTTGTTCTATAAACTGTTCCAATGGTTCTGTAGTTTTAGCTCTCACATTTAGGTCTTGATCCACTTTGAGTTGGTCTTGTCAAGGGTGTCCCAAAATTCACGCAAGATTTGAATTTTACACCATTTGTGCCATAAAGTGTTGCCAACGAAAAAACAGATAGCGTGACAGCTGACAGTTCAGGGTTATTAAAAATGGAGAGCTACACGAAAGAACAACGCGTTTCATTATTGAGGAATATTTTAAAAATAATGAAGGTTTGGCAGCTATAGTTTGCAATTTTCGTGCAAAATATGGTTGAAATAGTGATTTAACTTCATCAAATGTGAAGAGATTAATTAAAAAATTTAGGGAGACTAATTTAGGATTCTAAGGCTTATGCCAACAAGCCCACGACCACCCACGCCTTGAAGGAGGAAATTGAGCGCTGTATCAATGAAATTCAGCCACATTTATGCAAAACGGTTATGTGCCAGCAGAGTCGTGGAGGCCATTTACCCGATATGCTATTCCATACATAACCCTATACTGTATACTTTATGAATCAATAAAAAATTTACAATTTTTAATTATAAACCTGTTTTCTATCAAAATTACTTCTTGCGTGAATTTTGGGACACCCTTTATATGGCATGAGATACGGATCCAAATTCATTATTTTGCATGTGGGTAGTTAGTTGTCCCAGAATCCTGTTGAAAAAGCTATTCTTTTCCCATTAGATAGTTTTGGCACCAGTGTCAAAAACCAGTTGACCATAAGTATATGGATTTATTTCTGAACTCTCAATTCTATTCCATTGATCTATGTTTATCCTTATGTCAGTACCATTGTTTTGATTTCTGTAGCTTTGTAGCAAGTCTTAAAATCAGAAAGTGTGAATCCTCCAATTTTGTTCTTTTTCAAGATTGTTTTGGATAGCCTGGGTTACTTGCAATTCCATATAAATTTTAGGATCAGTTTGTCCAATTTCTATAAAAAAGGCAGCTAGGTTAGTTGGTTTTAATGTATCCTATCTAATAATAGAAAAACATGGTAATTGACCATACTTTCGCTACACCTCCATTGGCTAATCAGTGATATGCGCAAATTAACCACCAACAAAGATGGTGGTTAATTTGCATATGTAGGCACAAAGCAGCAGAGTGAAGACTAAAGGCGGCTCTGGCCGGAGCAGCGAAGGTTTGAAGGCGGCTCAGGCCAGAGTGAAGGCCTAGGCCCCGGATGCCGGAGGAAAACAGGTGCCAGCAGCCAGGGGAAGGGAAGGCCTATTACATGAATCTTTTCGTGCAACAGGCCTCTAGTATATATAATAAAAGCCTAAGTGACCCTTACGGTGGAATGACCACCAGGTGGCAGCCGGGCTCACAGCTGGCGAGTGCAGCAGTGGTGGTGGGAGATCCACGGCAGGCGGGCCGTACGGAGCGAGGGGTCCCGGACTGCGAGAGGGATGTCTGACTGCTGGCTTAGGCCTGAACCCCAGGGGGATCTGGCCTAAGCCAGCAGGTGGACATCCCCTGAGGGGGTCCCGGACTGCGAGAGGGTGCAGGCAGGGCTGAGGGAACCCCCCTCCCCAGGGCATGAATTTCGTGCACCAGGCCTCTAATATTTGATAAGAGGTATTTCCCTGATTAGGCTGACAGAATGACCATTAATAGGTCTGCAATTTTGTCCAATATGGACTCTAGATGTTCTCAGGAATTTGGGAATTTTGTCTAATATTGCTTGATATTGGAGCAATAAGACTGAGAGTAGAAGGTGTTGGAGAAAGCATGAGTCTGCAGCAAATCTGAGCCTAAACTGTGTTCAAGTCCTAGATCTGCCATTTAGATGCCATATGACCCTGTACAAGTCATTGACTCTCTTTATGCTCCAATTTGCAATCTGTAATGAGAACAAGGGCACTTATGTCAACACCACTGTGCTGTGGGAACAAAAAACGTGCACCACAGAGCCCAGAGGAGGGTGGGCTCCTGTGGGTGCTTGGGGGACCTGTTGTAGCACATTCTTATAGGACTCACTGACTTGGGAGGTGGCTGTAGGAGCCTTGTGGCCTGTCTGCTGCTGAAAAGATGACACTGAGATGTCCTCTTGGAAACTAGATCACTTTGTCGCCCACTCCTCATTTGCCACACTTTGGCAGGCGATAGTTCCTCCTGATAGATGCTCCATCAACTGATCTGGAAGCTGAATCCTTGGAAAAAAGACATCTACATGCTAACATTTGCAGAAGGAATGGAGCCCTTAAATCTGAGTAAGTTACGGGAGCAGGTATGAAAGACAGGATTACAAACTCCTTGGTGTCAAATATTACAGAATATTTCTATTCCATCACAGCTTACACTTAAAGCCACATGAATATCTTGCCATACAAATTAGAAAGAAATGAATGGCCACGTGGCCACAGATTTCCCAAGGTACCATTCACCTTCTTCCTTGCTGACAAATCCAACCTCTATCTTCTAGGGAAAGGGCAGGAAAAAAAAGTTATATTTTGGTCCCTAAAATCAAGTCATTTTCTCTGCTCTGGGAGAAAAAGATACCACCAACAGCATGGACCCAAGTCAGAATGCTTTTTAAGTTCATGTCACTTGTTTATAATATGATATCATATCATCCAGAGTTTCAAAAGTGACCGTGGGGGCTTGTGGTGGGCTGCTGGGAGCAGGAGTGGGTGACGTATGTGAACAGCTGGGGTCATGGCTTTGGCCAGCATCACTCTGTGCAGGTGCAGGTCTGCTCCATGTCTGGCTACTGAAAGAACCAGTTCTCTTTTGACCCACAAAGTAATCCGACGGTGGGGCAAACTCAGGATCTCTTTCAGCCCGGAGATCTGACTGCCTCTTCGACCAGTACCCAAAGGAAAATTCTAGTAAAAATAAGAAAGAATTGTATTAGAACTGATTATGGAATGAGATGAATTTATTGTCATTGCTTTTCAATTATTATATGTATTCCTTAAAAGCCTCCTCAAATTCTCTGGAAAGCAAGGATTGCAAAACAAAAAGGTAGTATGAGGCACATGCAATGCCTACTGAAGTATAAGGAACTAAGCTAAGGGAGTGACGACTTCCTGAAGGCCAAAGGTTCAAGAAAGGCTGTGTGGAGAAGTCTGCAGACTCTGGAAACACTGCCAAAAGGGCACTAAAATTAAATTTAAGAGAGAAATACAGAAAAATTAAACAATCATTTGCTTGACATTATGTTGCAGGTACTTCACAACAAACACAGTGTTGTTCTCTGAGTTTTAGACATGAAGGAACCTGTCCAAATCTAAGTTGGTCTTTTATCTCTATTTCCAACTGAAATGTGCTAAAAACACAATACATTAAAATATCAAACCTTCATAAATTTTGAAAGCAGTTCCTAAGAAATGACATTTCAAAGCTGCAATGAGGCAGCACGAATTTCAGAAAACTTCTCCCAAGCACTTCAAAAACACAAAACCCTCATCCTTCGACATGATGCCTTATAAATCCTGGTCTTTTATAATCACCCTTTCAAGTGCTCCTGTTTATAAACAGCTCTGCCTGGGTATCAAGAAGGAAAAAGTTCAAGGACCTGAAGAATTCTTTAAGACTCAAAGGACCACTAAGACTCATCAGAATCACATTTGGATCAGGAGAACCAGAAAAATTTCCTGTGCAGGGCCCATTCCTAGAGAGGTTTTTACACCTTGGAGCCACCCCGCCCTCCCCTCTGCCCCTCTTACCTTTTCCTCTGTCCCACTCCCGGACGTGTGGCACTCCGGGCCTGGTATCCTTCCTCTCCTGAACGATGACTTCTACTTTGCTGCGCTGGGCAGCAATAGGCGGAGTTGGCATGGCCTCTGGTTCTGGTGGCAAAGGCCCAATAACATTTCCATCTATTTTTTGCAAGGGAATAAGACGCCATTATAATAAAGCTTAAAGCTACTTAATTTTTAAAAAATAGAATATACTAATCCTGGGAGTAGAAGTAATAACCAGTATTTACTAAGCACCTACCATGTCGCAGGCAGTGGGCTAAGTACTTTGTATATAATAGTTCATTTAATTCTGTAACAACCCTAATAAAGCCAATATTGGTATTTCCATTTTATCCTCATTTTTAGATGAGAAAAATTAAGCTCAGAAATACTGCACAGGTCAAAAGTGACAAGAGTCAGGACTTAAACCCAAGCTGGATGGATTTCAAAGTATCTATATCCCCAGACCAACAAGCAAAAGACCAGAAATCCCTGTTACTCAACTAAAGTAAATCTCAAACAAAGCAAGGGGGCTTGGGGTGATGAAGAGCTGGAGCTTGGTGACGGGCTGTAGACTACTCAATTCTGGCCATATTTTAAATGAAAATGGATTTTTTCAAACACTGTGGTGACACTTCACAACTTGTGGAAATGACAGATGTTCAGGAGTAGAGCAAAAATAAACAACATAAAGAGCTGAACATGTTACAGGGAGACAACAGTTATATGAAACTAAATGGATGATTTTCCAATTAATAAATGTTTCTGGTTTCCTTTAAAAACCAAATTGAATTTAAAAAAAAAAAACACAACTCAAAAACTGAATTTCTGTTCAGAATTAGAAAACAGCCCATGGCTTAGCACAAGCTCCTGTGAGGGCTGGAGGCTTCTATATGCCTCTAGCACCCATACTTTTTCCTTTTGGGACCAGAATGCCCCGTTTCAGCTGGATACAAGGCACCTCGCCCGAGAGGCTGATCCCCAGCCTCCCTGCCTTATGGCTACTGGCCTCCCTGTGTTCTGGCCATTGGGATGTAAACACATAGGCTCTGCATGACTTCTGACTCACACTCCCCAAAAGGAAGCTCATTCCCTTCCCTTTTTCCTCCTTCCCCAAGGCTGAATCATGAACAGGTGCTGGGGAGCAAGCTTCAACTGTTCAGGTTAGAGCAACCTAGGAAATGACAGAAATAGCAAACAGGAGGAATCTGAAGACTGGATGGCCATCTGAGGCAGATCTACTACCTACCTGGACACCCACCACCTCTGAAATGTTAAAAGGGAGAAGCAGATTTCCCTCTAGTTTGAGGCGGTCTATGTGGGGGTCTCTTTGTCGTGACAATTTGGCCCAGACCAACATAAATCATAGAATAGACTAGTTTGAACACATTATTTAACAGTGTTTCCAAGTGTTTTAACAGTCCTTTCGTAAGCTGACCATAGTCATATTTGTAAATTATTTAATTCTGACTTTGTGAATGTATTTCTCCTTTAAAATAAGTTAATATATAATCAACAAAAACTGTAGCCACAGCAAAACAAATTAGGTTTAAAACATGTACACAACTAAACTAAGTGTGAGTTACGAAACTGTTCTATTCTATGAAGTGACTCAATGTACGGTTAATTTCCTTATCTATAACCTAAACTATTCCCTAGCGTGTCATTCGCATCACACTGGTTATAAAAACTGCTCCTGTCAGTACCTTAGAGGTGCTTTCTTAATGGCTAATTTC